TGCTTGATCTCCCTGCTTCACGTAGGACGCTCTCCTGCTGTGCAATATGGAGGGCGCAAAGTTGAAGTGAGAGCTGAGAGGACGGCGGGGGCGCGCAGAGGGTTCGGCCGGGGCGTCGTTTGGGTTTGAATTCGAATTCGAGTTCGAGGTAAAGGAGAAATGAGTGGGAAGTGGCGTGTAGCGGGCGTCGTCGAGGGTCGGCAGCTGGGCAACAGAACTGGTGCCGGGCCGTGAGGAAGAGACGGGAGGGCTGCTCAGTCGATGATTCGGAGGAATGTCTTGGTCTGAGACTAGTATCCTCCTGTTGGAAGAAGACTGTGTGGAACTCGAATCGTCGGGATGAGCAAACACTAGACCTACAGCCGCTGCAGCAACGGCAGTGCCAGTTCCCACGAGCTAATGAGGCGACGAGTCAGCAGGCAAGATGGGATGAACCAGGCAAAAGAAGGACAAAATATCAGGGACACCGGTGCTGCGTGCTGGGAAGCATGGGAATGGAGGAGTATATGGGAAATGAGGAAGACCCATATAGGGCGGGAATTGGTGTGTCTACGGGAGAAGAAAGCATGCGCAACACAGTATCCGCGTGGTTGTGATCCAAGCAGGTGTTGGGGGGATGCCTGTCGGGGTGGATGGCAAAATGCTAGTAAGCAAGCATGAAGGCAATTCAACTTACACTGGGAACGGTCTGCATGATTGCAGAGCCTTATTCGACGCGGGAGAACCAAGCTACGGCTACGAGGCCCAAGACGGGCATGCGGGCGGAAGAGTCGTGGATGCTCTCGAGAGACGTGGTGAGCATCGTCAAGACATATGGGCCAATTTCTCGGGTCGTATGGTGAGGAATGCGCGCGTCGATTCTTGATGTGTTTTCCGAGGTGTGGGTGGGTTGTGTCGCGGTCTCGGCGGGCAGAGAGAAGACGGATTCCAGGAGAGGGAGGGAGTAAGAAAGAGAGAGAAAAAGACTGAGAAGTTGGAGAGAGAGAACAGGGGCGCAAGGTTGAATCGAAGTAAAGAAATCCTAGACAGGGCCGTTGGCGAGTTGAGATGGTGGTGGTTGTGGTGGAGGACGTAAGGTGAGTTGTCTAGTTGAAGAGCGAGAGTGAGGCCCGAGACAGAGAAAGGGCTGTAACGGTACGGCGAAAGAAGAATCGCACACACGTCGAGCGACCGTGATCTCACACAGACGGATTGGCCCTCGGACAATCAAGTAATACGGCCAATGGGTCCAGGAAACCCCCCCGTTGGACCAGAATAGAAGGCGAATGGAAAGAAAAGGACGCTGGGGACCGAAGAGAAGGGAAGAGGAAGAGGAGGAGGAAGAAGCGCGCAAGCGGGTTGAACGCGGTAGAGGTCAGATCAAGCCAGACCCGGACACGGTGAGGTGAAGTAAGGTCCCGTCCCGGTAGAAAGGTAGGTAAGTAGAGGTAGGTAGGTTAAGGTAAGGTGAGGGCGAGTTCGAGAGTGGGTGAGGAGGAGAGCAAGGTGGGTGGAATTGGAGACGGGATGGATGGGTGGACGGGCAGACGGGGTGGGCGAGTTTGGTAGGGTGTGGTTGGTGTGTGTATGGTGTCCGTGGGAGTTTGTTCATTCGTTCTCTCGGATGGTCAAGGTAGTGAGGTCCAAGTCCGGGTCCAGGTCCAGGTCCAGGTGTCAAGGTCCAGGTCAAGGTGTCGGTGCTGATGCCGGTCGGTGCTGGGTGTGGTCTAAAAAGTCCAAGGTTCGGAGAGAGGTCAAAGAGGAATGGACGACGAGAGAAAGCAATGCAGATGCAGAGCAGACGAGAGCACAAAGCAGTCTCTGTGTGCTATGGCAGAGTACAAGTCGAGGAATTGGCAGCTAAACCGAGTATAAAGGGTGGACACTAGATAGACAGGGCGCTACGGTACGGAGTATGGTATGGATAATGGAGAACAAAAAGAACAAGAAGAGGAAGCAGGGTCGTTGTTCCCAGAGAGGATAAGACCGGGATAGACCAGGCTAGCTGAGCTGGAGACCTTCTCTCTCTTCGTCTTGACTCTTGGCTGAAGTCTGACGGTCGAGCAGGGTAGGGTGGGCGTGGATCGTCTTGGAGGAATCGGGAATTTGGAGACCCAGGCAAGGCTTGCCAGGACAAGTGGAGAGGGGGGGGGGGGGCAGGGCAGCCGAGGAGGGGAGAAGATACAGTGACAGAGTAAGTCTTGTCTTTTGCTTGTGCCTGTCTGTATTCGCAATCCGTTTGAAGTTGTTATTGTATCTGTGGTTCAGTGTGTTCGGTTGAGAGCGTTGCTGTAGTTGTGTTTCGTCTTCTGTGTTGTTTACTACTCTTTCCCTTGCTTGACTCCCTTTCTTTTTCCTCGTCTCTGTCAATTTTTCTTGTTATTTTTTTTTCTCTTTCCTGTATCCTTTTCATAAACAAAAGCGGGCAGGAAATGGCAGATACGCATGCACAGACACACAGAAAAGAGAGCAAGATGGGAGAATGAGAGCAAGTGGAGCATTGGGGGAATGGGGAATGGCAAGCGGGCCAATACCTGCGCTAACGTACCTGCTGCCATGTATGTACGTACTCCACCCAGTACTTCGAGAGATGGAAGTACACGCTGGGAAAGGTACCTCTGGCGCAAGAGCCACCACTAGGCAAGATATGCGCAGGCAGCTGCTAACTGTTCGCAGCCCACCTAGTGCCTCGAGGTACTTTGCAAGGTACCTTGCTGCGCAGTGAGGTAAGGATTCAAGGCAGACGGGTGTCCACTCTCAGGGCATTATCCATGTTTGCAGGTGCATAAGGTGCCTGGGACGGCGGGTGGGCCATCGCTAAGTGCCAGGAGTGGCCCTCGCTGGCGCCTCTCTTCCAGTAGCCGTGGACGCGTGGAGCAGCAGGAGATGACTGCTGAACGCTCCGAGCCAGTCGCTGCCCTGGTAAAATGACGGACCTGCAAGCCCGCGCCCAGCACCCAGGGGACCTGCCTGTGATGTCCTGCACCGTCCATTGGGCCATGCCTTGCTTTCCTAAGTTACGCAGTAATGCACCTTAGCTACCAGGTACTTGCCGTCCATGCCTTATCCAGCAGTTGGTTCATGTACCTCAATATCCATCTGCCATCAATGTTATACACAATACGACAATTAATTCAACCATTAATCAACGCCTCCTGTTGTTCCCTACACACGCAGTACACTTTCTACACAGAACAGGCGCGGACGTACTCCGTACTACTTACTCCTTACACAATGCAGTACAGATGCAATGACTAACTTGGAGGTCTACGACTCTCTTTCCTTTTTGTCACAACCTGCCCGGGCATGCTGGCTGACCTGGGCAATAACACACTCAACCTGTCGATAACACACCGCAACAGCCAACACGACTGAGCACAAGAGCAAACTGCTTCCCATCCCACGCCTTGTTAGTCACAAGCAGAGAGTTACCTACAACTGCCCGACGGAATCCTTCCTGCAACGGACCGCTGCTTGTCTTTGTCCTCGTCTCGTCTGTTCCTCCTTCCTCGCCCGCTACGCCGCCCGCTATTCTAGCATGGTGAGGCAGCGCCAACCAGCCGCCATGTTCCACTTCTATTCCGCTTCTCATCCTCCTCTCCCGTCTTCTCTACTCCAGATACCAGATACACATGCAATCAAAGTATCCGTACACATACAGTACACTGTGCCCAAAGCAGTACTATCTTGAATGCTCAACGAACCCGCTCTGCAACACTCTTGACTCGAGTCCAGCCTCCATTCAAGCCTCAATGCTTCTTTGTTGCTTCCATGGCCGCCCCTCCTTTTCAAACAACCCAAAACAGGCCAGCTCTGATCCGAACCGATGCTACACTGCTCAGTGCTCACAGAGTACTGTACTCTCGCCACTGCCACCAGCCCACCGGTGCCAGCCCCCCTGCCACTTCACAAAGAGGCTATTCCAGAAACCAACCGAGCCAACGTAAACGTAGGCTTGGGAAATCCGGGCTGCCGTGGGTGCGTGGAAAGAAGAAACACCGAAAGAACACCACCTGTCCTAGCGCAAGATCGGCTGAGACCTGCTATCTCACCTCCTTGGCACAATCCAGTCAGCACCAAACCCCCCGTCTCGCACCCGAAGACTGCCTACGGATACGGTACGCTACCACGACTACTTACTTTTTGCTTTCCTCCTCAAATACCAACCTCTGGTGTTCTCGGCCGGGCCTGTAATGACAGGAAAAAAGGTCACAGGCCGCCTCGTGGCCCTTCTCACCACACGTCCGTTGAAGTCGGAACGCTTGTCCGTGCCTAGGACTCTTTAGTCTCTCGCCTTGCCAAGTTGCCAACATGAACCTGGTCTTACTTGAACCACCTTTGCTTCCAAAACCACCTCCCTGACCCTGTCTAACTCTCGCGTGGTTGCTTGCCGATGGCCATGGAGCAGATGGTACGTGTATCCGAAGGGGGCCGCCGCGCGACGCAGACAACAACAAGCAGCAGCCCACAACAACTCCCGGCGCTTTCAAAGAGCTGACGGAAGACTATCTTTTGCAGGGGCCATGCCTGAGCTGAGAAGCGCCCCCTCACTCTCGGAGAGAAACCCAGGCGTATCGATCTCCGGAAGCGCCGCAGTACTCGCTTGCTTGCTGTTACTCGCCATCTTTTTAATTCAGGCTCGTCCAGCGGCAGCCTACCATTGCTAGCGGATGGCACTGATGGAGCCCGTCTGTGAACCCGTTGGGAACACCTACAGAGTACAGATACATTTACGCCCAAACCATCAAACCCGCATGGCGGCGACATCCCGTCTACACTTTATGTTTTGTTGCCTCTGTGGACATTGTACCGCGCACAGCATAACCTATGAATCCTCAGCTCGTGTTGCCGACCACGTTTGCACGGCGTCAAGCCACGCTCGCTTCACTTCTGACTCCTGCAGCAACTCTGCCTGTTTCTGTCTCTCATCTCGAGATTCAATGCCTACTGACGTCGCCAAGTTTGCCCTTGCCTCGTGTTACTGTCGTTGGCCGTCGTCCATTCAGCCCATGGGCACCAGCATGCCGCCATCTGCCGTTGACTTGCCTCATCTCAAGACATACAATGCCATCTTGGACCGCTACACCTTGGAAAAGGTTTCAACGGAAAAAGGTACGGTACGACCACGACCATATCCTCTATTCCTGTTACACAAGCAGAGGAGTCCTTGCCTATCTACCTAGCAGGCGCGCAAGACCGTCCAGATGGTCTGTTCCTTGCCCGCAGGCGTACACAGGCCTCAGGCCATGGGGTGGAGGAGGGACCTTGAAGCAAGTGATGGGAGACTTGTAAACACCGGCATCCCAAGTCTACCTTACCGCGAACCGTTTCCTATCAAGTCGACCAAGGAAGACCCTTTGATCTCGCAGAAACCGGCTCGATTTTTAGCAGCTTTTTCTTCTGCAACCGTCGTCTTCACCTCCACCACCATCACCAACATGGCGCCATCAACCTACTTCGTGCTCCTCTGCCCCTTCTCACTCGCCAACGGCGATCCGTAAGCTACCGGGCACCGGTAGACGACCATGGGAAGAGGAGCAAGCAAAACTACATGTACCGGAAAGAATGGGGTTTCGTGGTACGGTGTGCGGGGGATGGAGCTGAAGCATCGGTGTTGGAGATCAGCCAGGCCAACAAAACTGGTCTCCAAAGAAAAGACCAGACGATGCAACTCCATCCGACAGCCACAGAGCCCATAAAGTTCGGCACTACGCACGGAGGAAGTGGCTCTCGTCCTGTTCCCCGCCTCCCGGTATCTTCTTTCAGCTGGTCCGATGCATCAACAAGCCGGGGCCTCTTTTGCTCTTCCTTTCTTTTTTCACCGCCCTCTCTCTCGTTATTCCATCTGAATACCTAGGCCACGAGAGGCAATGTATCTCGGTTTCGTGGTATCGATGCTCCCACTGGCGATCTCTGTAAGACCCTAGTACACATGCGTAGGTACACGCACACACGCACAGCGCGTGCAGCATGTTGCTTGTTATCCCAAGATCTTGTGCTGCGACCGCCAGCAAAAGCCGCGTGGTTGAGCGAGACAACACAGATTAAAGAAGAAACGATGCCCCAGAGACAGATAGGCCGCCGACCCAGCTGGGTGGCCGCCGGTCTGATGTTGTGATGGGATGGGACTTAAGTCTTGACCACCAGTTGAACCATCCACCCCGCCTACGGTGACGAGGTGACATGGGTGGTAAGACTCGAGAGAGGAACCTACGCAGTATCCAGTATCCACGAGCAAGGGCCCGCGGCTGGTGGGCCACCTGCCGGCCTGTGTTTTGAGTTGCGGTTGCTTGACAGCCATTGACAACGACAACAAACCAAAACAACAACACACAAAAAAAAGCAAAACAAGTAAACATCCTACCCGAACCGGCACACACCATCATCTCACACAACCACCTCACACCACACACCACGAGACACAACGTTGAGATCGATCCTCGCCGGCAGGTACAGTCTTACAGATAACAGAATGGAAGGGGTCCTCCCCCCATGCTGTGTGATCCACGACGCAAGGCCCGTCACAAACATCATTGCCCGGCTGTTGTTAGGTGATACCGTAGGACACGTCGTTTCAACATGCGCATGCCATGTCCTTGAGACAGACCGAGATGGATTACCTGTTGGCCTTGATGCCCTGGTCCTTGCCAACGTCAGAAGAGTTTAGCTTGCCCAGACGTTCCATTTCGTACCCCGCTCCTTCCATCTCTCCATCGTTCGCAGAGGTACGAAAATGCTTGAAGACTGAGAAAGAAGCTCGGTGGTTATCAACAATGGGCGAGTACCTACTCCGTAGACTGAGGTGAGAGGCTCAGTCACCCCTCTCCACACCAGATCAAACATCACTCCAGCCTCACCCCCACCGACTCAATACCTACCTTAGATGGAGATGAAGATGTTTCTGCTCCTTTGGGGGAACGAACCACTCTTTCGTTCAAGGTTACCCGTCCAATCAGCATGTCGCCTTTCGAACTGTGGTTTGGGATACACGAATATCCGTCATGCGTCCTTCACCCCCGCTCATGCCGTTGGCAATCCAGCTGGGGAGGGGAAAAGAGAGGGTCTGACGAGACAAGGTCAAGACGACGATCTCCTGTGAGGCTCTCTCCGATTCCGACGTCTCTCTCTCTCTCTCTCTCCGCCAGCCCACGGTGTCCACCAGCCGAGCCTCAATAGCGACTCGTGCTCCCCGCCAGCCACCATCTGCAAAATGGAAGACAAGTGCGAAGAAGAAAATTGCGGCGGCTGGTTTGTGAAGCACTGAGTAGTGAGCACGCACATTTGCGGCGACCTCGTGTCGGTACTCACCCGCACTACTGCCATGTTTTCTTCTCGAGTACCGTAAGTCCGTACAGAGAAAATGAAGAAAACATGCGGGTAAACTCCTAGTTCTGCCTGGCTAGTAGCAAACTTTCCAAGTTTCGCCCATCCCGTCATACCGCAAACCCGAACGCCTCATGCTGTCCATTCGTCAGCCAAACGCACTCATCCATATTCGAGGCAACCGCTTGCTCTAGCGGGCAGGGCGTACTTGGCATTTGGTGCTTTAGCGTAAAAGCTTTCTGCCCAATCTCTAAGCTTCAGCAAAAGTCGGAAGAAGGGGAGAAGGGGAGAAGGACAGAGAAACCAGAGCCGAATTACGACATGTGGCCCGCCATTTGCATCTGCAAATCCGGCATGGCACAAAGAAGATGTATTCGGGAAAGCTCGCTCCACGGGACCCCTGTTATCGTGGGATTCGGGAACCGGGGGGTGGGAGGAACGATCTGACAAAGCCTTGGCCAATCCCATCTGCTGCCGTTGCGAGAAGCTCTTGAGCGTTTCGAGGTGACACAAATGATCCAAATTCGTCTTTCTCTCCCTCAACGTTTGACTGAGGGCTTGAACACCTCATCGTCACAAGCGATTGTTAAAATTTGGAGTAGTCAAGGGTCCAAGGCTAGAGTAGAGAAAGGACCCTTCTCGCCGCGCCCTAAGCTGGACCGAACGAAGCTCTAGCAAATGTCCGGTAGTGCGTGATCCGGCTTTGAGCTTTCGAGAATAACGAAGCTACCGTATCGCCGGCCTTTGCGGCCGTTCCAACTAGAGCCGGCAATGAAAGAAAGACGAAGCGAAGCCGTCTGGTGCCAGATAATTGGCGCCACCCAATGAGGTTACCATAGTGTTCCAGATGACCTGATTCTTCGTGTTGCGCATCCATGCAATGCTCAAGAAGAGAGAGAGAGAGAGAGAGAGAGAAGCGAGGCAAGGAGGGTAATATCGAGTGTATTTTTTGTCCCTCGGTTCATTGAACAAGAATCGAGGTTCAGGCAGGTAGCTCCTCCATGCACAACACACGGCCGGCCAACTAAGTCCGTAAGCCAATTGACCAGCAGGAGCTGCCAAGACATTGCTTCGAGGGTTTACTCCGTCGCTTGGTTGACGCCCAGGCCCGGAGAGATACCAAGTAGGGTTATAAGTTGAGAACTTATGATGGGGTGAGCAGCTTCCGATGGACCGATGAGTTCCATCTCACCTGCAAGATTTTTTTTCATCTGAGAAAGACAGAAAAAGAAAAAGAAAGAAAAGCATGGTGCAGAATAGCCGCAGACCAGGATCCTCGAACCAGTTGGGATCTCAATCCATCCAGATGCCAGGCAGAGTCGCGACTTGGGAAGCTAGCCCATGCAACGTGTGCATCGAATATCGACCAATGAAGGAGGTTGGTAGGTTATGAGAGGACGTTCGATAGCGCTCGGGGTTTCGACCAGAGGTCCAGGACCAGCGCACACCTCACAAATCCACACAGACTGTTGCCCTGCTAGTCAATTTAACCGCGTGAAACTTGAAACCATCAAAGCCTCTCTTGGTCCGCGGGGTTCGGTACGAGGACGTGGGAATCGGTATGGAGACTCGGAAGGAGGGGAGTTCGAGGGCAATGCGACAAGGCCAAGTTGTGGTCCGGTCTGCCGACGTCCCGGTGGTCGCCTGTGCAGACTCCATAGTAAAATAGTGTAAGCCTGCGTCGGAACCTGTCCTTACGCCACTCCCAGGGAACGCTATGCAGCTAGACGGCCAGCTGATGAATGTGTTCTGCAGGTCCTGCAAGATTCCTGCACGACAAGTCAGAAAAAACCTGCCATTGAATATCGTGCATGTAGTTAGTTCTCTGCATCATCCGAAGGATTCGCCAGAGGAGCTACGCGCTTCCCATTGACTGGATGTGAGCTTGTGAAGATCGTTCTGCCCGCACTCTTTCCCCTCCCGTAAACCAGACGGGAAACGTTCTCTATGATGGGACCCGACCCCCTTGGCGCTGCCGTTCCGACTCTCCGGTGCGGCGGTGCCGTCGAACCAGAAAAAAGGCACAGGTTCTGTTGCCGACAGACTCTCCAATGACGAAATCTCGATAGGCAGATGCAGAGTCGTCAAAGTGGGACAGAGGTGGATGCTTGATCCATACTTGGAGTCTGAGCAGGGAAGCCTGGCAAAGAGCCTCCAATATCAAAAAAAGGCGCGTGTTCTTGATTTAGCTCCGCCCCAGAGAAATGCCGCAGGGAGTCGAGTAGCCAAAGTCAATTGGATATGGCCTTTCCTAACCCGGAGGATCACCGTTGAACGAAGTTTGAATTTCAGTGTGATTCGCGTGCCATCGTAACCCTCACTGTCAATCTCATCACTGTTCCGTTGCCAGTTGGTAGGGGCAGAAGTCAGATAGATCCTGGTCTGTCATCTCGCCAGTACGAGTACCCCAGTCCAGAAAACAATCAAGGTAGGACAGATTCCAGAGAGGGTGGTAGATGTGGGAACGAACTGCGCGCCAGTATCATCGGAATCAAGGTTTTGTCCCGGGGACCCCTAAAGCAAAGCTCTGTGGTTGCCCGATCTGTCTCGCATGCGACTCTGGGCGGGAACAGGAGCCAATATGTGGTCGTATTGGTAGGGCAAAGGTTTTGAAGGAGCAAGTCCAGCCTTGACCGTGAGCAGATATTCCCACTTGACTGCAGCGTCCAACGTGTGACGGAACTAGGGAACTGAATCCCACATTGAACTTCGGTTGGTGTTGGGTCCGCTTTTGGCCATGGAGAGGAGACAATGACCGAACCGTGACTGAATAGGATGACGCGGAATCGTGTCCGGTTCGAGGCCATGTCCACTGTCGCAGTCTACGAGGTCAAAAGGTTCTCGCTCTTGTTGTTGCTGTTGTTGTGCTGCTGCTGTTGTCGCTGTGTTGCCGCCGCCATCTCGTTTTCGTTCATTTTAACGTTTGTTTTTTCCCTTTGAATCTCCATGGTTCATTTCCATCCAAGACACTGATTGCGGCGATGATGTCCCATTTCGTCTTCGCGTGTCCACCCTAGTGAGAGTTTGCACAGATTGTGCAATGAGCATCGAATATCGGAATAACTTTAACCTGCAACTGGGATCCCCGGACGGATCTCCAGCGCATGGCGGACGTAGTATGGCGTGAGCAGGGCTAAGTCTCCCAACGACATTCAAAACTTTCGCATGTTGATGGCTCTTTTTTTCCCTCTCCTAGTGTCAGAGACTGATTGGTTGCCATGCGACAAATGAATAGACGATCCTCTGCAGGTCGTCGCGTGCGTCCTACGGCTGACGCGATTACATGCAGCTGCGCGAAACATTACACGCTGTTCGTCCATCTCCGCAAGTCGCGTCGATGGCCAAGGGTACCCAGCTCGATGCTCAGTGATCCGCGGCTCCCCATTCGCTGCCGTTGGTTAGACTAGACTCTGCGAATGCTTTTCAGCTGGCCAATGTCAAATTGAGACTTTGGGTTTCATCCATTTTCGGCAATGTAATGTCGGTGACGGCGGTGGCAATAAAGACGTATTTCGATAGAGCATTCCGTCTACAGCTACGGATGGAGCATCAAGAATTGCCGTTTTGCCCGTTTGTCTCAGCCGACTCCACGGTGTCAGGTCAATCGGCGATGTTATCCATGCTGTCGGGACTTCAAAAGAGAGACAACAACAAGTCTGAGTCGGTCTTTGAAAGACGCTGCAATATCGTTCTTCCGGGAAAGTTTGACGGAGAGAAGTTTTAGATCGTGCCACTTGATTGCCTCCTTCTGAATTAAAGAGCAACCAGCATTTGGTGAATGCAGGTGGAGTTCACTTCTTTGCACCTGCCTTATTGACAGTGCCGTAGTGTTGTTGCAATACATTTCATTGGTCCAAATGCTGAGACATTAGCCTGGAGTCACTGGACGCTGCTAAGGTGACATAAGCAGCCTTAGAGGACGTCTTCCCGGGCCGAGCTTTATTCCGATTTAGACATCCGAGCCCGGGCAGGGCACTTGAATCAAGGTCCACATTTTGAGGCCTGTCGTGAATATCGCATCTAGATCACAAGTGAAGTCGTCATAAGGCAGTTGCAATAGCCTAGCAAAGTGACAGTATTCTGGGCTTGCTGCTATCTCATTTGTCTCACGTCAAGTCGACTGTCGCAGAGCCAACAGCTTTGCATCGCTGACAGATTCGTTGAAGCAAATTTCTACCACTACCGCCACCACGAACTTACAACTTTTTGAGTAGCAACGATGGATGCGGAGATTAGAACCGTCTTGCCGAACATCGACCCGGTGCTCTCCGAGTACTCGGTCGGATACTTGACTCACGCATCGACCATCTACTCGGACGAGGAAGAGCAGTCTGGCGTCTCACCTCTCGCCGAGGCAGCCGCTACCGTCACCGAGTTATTGCTCTCTGCCTCTGGAAAGCCTGACGCTAAGCTCCAGGAGAAGATTGAGAAACTCGTTGAGAAATGGGTTGAGAAGTACACCGAGTCGAATGGAGGATTGCGAAGCGGCCCTTTGGCCGTCAGGCGCCTTGATGAGACTTTCCAAGTCAGCTCTCAGCGGAACATGTCTTCCACTCTGGCCGTGTCAACGGGAGCTGTCGATCTTGAGTCTGCAAACGCTCGCAAGGTCGAATCAAAGGTTGATCGAAAGAAGCTGGAAAAGGCCGAGCGCAAGATTGCAGCCAAGCAGCAGAAGAAGACCTTCAAGACGGTCGAGTATGAGGCTTCCAGATTGCTCGACGAGCCTGAGTCTACTCAATCATACGAGGAATTCTACATGGCTGTCAACCCTCTCCAGATGGGTGGTTCTGGCGCGAACAAGACCAAGGATATCAAGTTGGACAACATCGATGTCTCCATTGGTGGCCTGCGTATCGTGACCGATACGGACTTGACCCTTTCTTATGGTCACAGGTACGGTCTTGTTGGACACAACGGTGTTGGTAAATCTACGCTTCTTCGTGCTCTGTCTCGCAGAGAGCTGCCAATTCCGCCTCACATTACCATTCTCCACGTCGAACAGGAGGTAAGAGTGAACTTCGGCCACTCTCAACTCTGTTGTATACTGATATTTGCGTAGCTTACTGGTGACGACACTCCTGCGATCCAAGCTGTTCTTGATGCCGACGTGTGGCGCAAGGTTCTTCTCAAGGAGCAGACTGTAAGTGATACGCAGTTATAATTATCTCTGAAAAGTGCCATCATGCTGACAACCTTGTAGGAAATTACTCAGAAGCTGGCAGAGATCGAGACCCAACGTGCGGGCATGGCCGATACTTCGGCCGATGCCGCCAGACTTGACAAGGAAAGAGAAGCTCAAGACGGCAGGCTCGGTGACATCCAGGGCAAGCTTGCCGAGATGGAGTCCGACAAGGCCGAGTCAAGAGCCGCAAGTATTTTGGCTGGTCTCGGTTTCTCTGCCGAAAAGCAACAGAATGCCACCAAGACCTTCTCAGGTGGTTGGCGTATGCGTCTGGCGTTGGCCAGAGCCTTGTTCTGCGAACCTGACCTGCTGCTTCTCGACGAACCGTCCAACATGTTGGACGTCCCCTCTATTGCTTTCCTTGCCAACTACCTCCAAGGATATCCCAGCACGGTTCTCGTGGTTTCTCACGACAGAGCTTTCCTCAATGAGATTGCGACAGATATCATTCACCAACACTCGCAGCGTCTCGACTACTACCGCGGTGCCAACTTCGAATCCTTCTACGCTACTCGCGAGGAACGCAAGAAGACTGCGAAGAGAGAATACGAGAACCAAATGGCCCAAAGAGCCCATCTTCAGGCCTTCATCGACAAGTTCCGCTACAACGCGGCCAAGTCTTCCGAAGCCCAGTCACGTATCAAGAAACTCGAGAAGATGCCAGTACTCGAGCCGCCCGAGACAGAGTACAGCGTGCAGTTCAAGTTCCCTGATGTCGAGAAGATGTCGCCTCCTATCATCCAGATGACAGGCGTGACATTTGGTTACACGAAGGAGAACATCTTGCTGCGCAACGTGGATCTCGACGTGCAGCTAGACTCTCGTATCGGTATCGTCGGACCCAACGGTGCGGGTAAGACAACTATTCTCAAGTTGTTGATCGGAAAGCTGTCGGCCACTTCGGGTATCATTTCGCAAAACCCCCGTCTGCGCGTCGGCTTCTTTGCCCAGCATCACGTCGATGCTCTGGATTTGACGATGAGTGCGGTTGGCTTCATGTCCAAGGAGTACCCTGGCCGGACGGACGAAGAGTACCGCAGACAACTGGGTGCCTTTGGCATCACGGGCACGACAGGTCTGCAGAAGATGGCGGTTCTTTCCGGAGGTCAAAAGTCGCGTGTGGCGTTTGCTTGCCTTGCCTTGACCAACCCGCACATCTTGGTTCTTGACGAGCCTTCTAACCATCTCGATATCGAGGCGATGGACGCGCTCGCTACGGCCTTGCAAGAGTTCCAGGGTGGCGTTCTGATGGTTTCTCACGACGTCACCATGTTGCAGACAGTGTGCACCTCTCTCTGGGTGTGTGATGGAGGCACTGTTGAGAAGTTCCCAGGCGACGTTCAGGCCTACAAGAAGAGAATTGCAGCTCAGGCCGATGCGGCTGGTGTTGTCAAGGCTCATTAAGGGAATATGTCGTGGCCATGATAGTCTACGGAGCCACCATTGTTCCGCAAAATATGATGCCTCGATTGTCAGTCACCTATTCTTTCAGTGATGAGTGCACTTTGTGAACTTTATGAAGTCGATCTGCGTTTGATAGCTCTCAGGCACACCGTTAGCTCATTTGGCAGTGATGGAGCCCCCCTTGCAAATGTTGAGCTCCACTGGCAATTTAGCATTTTCGGTCAGTGCTTGGGGATCAGTGCCGAGCAATCTATGCAATGCCATTCATATCGGTACGTAGGCTCTGTGTTTGGCGTTGGCTTTTGGTAGGGCTGCCCGGTGCCGCACCTGCCCCGATTGTCAGAGAGTCCGTGGCTTCCCGAAGCTCAGCACCATTACCTACAGTTCATGCCTTGGTTTCCCGGGTTTCTGATGGAGATGGCTGGCACCTTATCTGGACGTGTCGTTGGATGTTTGGATCCCTCAGCAGATAGTCGGTCACCCCGGGTCTCGGATCGGAAAGAACAGAGGAGACGAAATACAGGGGACCTGAAGGTACGTACTTGCTGTGGTCGCGCTGTCTGCCAATCTGCTGTCACCTCAACTCATTCAACCCCACTTCCAATTGGTCTTTGGGGGGAGACACTGGGGGGCACTGGGGGCCACTAGGACGGCCACTTGGGGAGACTTGGGTGGTGGTAGGCGGGTGCCTTGCACTGGTCTTTCCCCAATCGGGGTCGTGCACGGGCCCAACTAGCACCACACAGTAAACAAGCGAGCTGCACCCCTTCCCTCTGGCCTGTCGCTGGCCTGTCGCTGGCCTGTCTTCTGGGCGTCCACCGAGCCGTGGCGGTGAACAAAATCACATCCACCCGCAAACAAAAATCAACAACCTCCTCCCCTACCTAACCACACCTTACCTCGCCCAATCCTCCACAACAACCCTTTCGCCTTGAAGCTTCGCCTAGCTCTCGAGCACTCTCTTCGTCTTCTTCATCGTACATCGCCGGCCAACTTAGCTTCAGAGCTTTCCATCATTCAAAATGCGTGAGATTGTAAGTCGCTCTCTCCCATCAACAACAATTCTGCGACGCGTCGGAATGGCCACTATTTCGGGGTAGCCCCTGAGCGTACCCCGCCGATATTCCCACCCAAGCCATGCTCGCCAAACATGGCCCGACTTGCATCTCCAACGCTTCTGTCATGGGAAACATTCCGCTGACCATTGATTGTTTTCTCGCAATAGGTTCACCTTCAGACCGGCCAGTGCGTAAGTATCTCCTGATCTCAACCCAACAAGCCAGAGTGCGGGGCTAACTTCTTTGAACAGGGTAACCAGATTGGTGCTGCCTTCTGGTGCGTAGCCAACCGCCAACGACGCGGCGATTCCGACATTTGACACGATCTCGAACTGACCTTGGTACAGGCAGAACATCTCTGGCGAGCACGGTCTCGACAGCAATGGCGTGTATGTCACTTGTCCTCCAGTGCGGCATCCTCATGGACCCAGCAGCTAATCATACCACAGGTACAACGGCACTTCCGAGCTCCAGCTCGAGCGCATGAGCGTCTACTTCAACGAAGTTTGTTATCCTAGTTCCCCAGTGTGCAGGCAATCCTATTGACGAATGCTGACCTTCTCACCCAACCAGGCCTCCGGCAACAAGTACGTTCCTCGCGCCGTCCTCGTCGACTTGGAGCCCGGTACCATGGACGCCGTCCGTGCCGGTCCCTTTGGCCAGCTTTTCCGCCCCGACAACTTCGTCTTTGGCCAGTCCGGTGCCGGCAACAACTGGGCCAAGGGTCACTACACTGAGGGAGCTGAGCTCGTCGACCAGGTTCTCGATGTCGTCCGTCGCGAGGCTGAGGGCTGCGACTGCCTCCAGGGCTTCCAGATCACCCACTCCCTTGGTGGTGGTACCGGTGCCGGTATGGGTACCCTCCTGATCTCCAAGATCCGTGAGGAGTTCCCCGACCGCATGATGGCCACCTTCTCCGTCGTTCCCTCTCCCAAGGTTTCCGACACCGTTGTCGAGCCCTACAACGCCACCCTCTCCGTCCACCAGCTGGTCGAGAACTCCGACGAGACCTTCTGCATTGACAACGAGGCTCTCTACGACATCTGCATGCGTACCCTCAAGCTCTCCAACCCCTCCTACGGCGACTTGAACCACCTCGTTTCCGCCGTCATGTCCGGTGTCACCACCTGCCTGCGTTTCCCCGGTCAGCTGAACTCTGACTTGCGCAAGCTCGCCGTCAACATGGTTCCTTTCCCCCGTCTCCACTTCTTCATGGTCGGCTTCGCTCCCCTGACCAGCCGTGGCGCCCACTCCTTCCGCGCCGTCAGCGTTCCCGAGCTCACCCAGCAGATGTTCGACCCCAAGAACATGATGGCTGCCTCTGACTTCCGCAACGGTCGTTACCTGACCTGCTCTGCCATCTTGTAAGTGCCACACGACGATGACCCTAGAATATAAGCAAATGCTAACTTTGTCGTTCCCAGCCGTGGTAAGGTCGCCATGAAGGATGTTGAGGACCAGATGCGCAACGTTCAGAACAAGAACTCGTCCTACTTCGTCGAGTGGATTCCCAACAACGTCCAGACCGCCCTTTGCTCCATTCCTCCCCGCGGCCTCAAGATGTCTTCCACCTTTGTCGGTAACTCTACCGCCATCCAGGAGCTCTTCAAGCGTGTCGGTGAGCAGTTCACTGCCATGTTCCGTCGCAAGGCTTTCTTGCATTGGTACACTGGTGAGGGTATGGACGAGATGGAGTTCACTGAGGCTGAGTCCAACATGAACGATCTCGTCTCCGAGTACCAGCAATACCAGGATGCTGGTGTTGACGAGGAGGAGGAGGAGTACGAGGAGGAGGTCCCTCTTGAGGAGGAGGTTTAAGCGCAGTTCAATCACACTGTCACTATAACCTGACACTACGCCAACCCACCTGTTGTGGCATTTCGCTTCGCGATTCTGGCTTATTGCTGGAAATGGGCTTCTAGATATACCTCTCTTAGTAGTTCGCCTGACGTATCAAATGAGTACGAAGAATCAGAGATTACTCTGTACAAATTACTGGCACAAACAACACCATCATTTAACCCCTTACTCATATGACACTTGCCAATTCTACGAAAAAAAAATGAATTTCCTAGACTCGAAAGCCATGAGAAGCAATGAGCTTGAGCTACCTACCTAACCATACGTTCCAGCCGTAATAACCTTAGGTACCTTAGTTTTCCTCTCGAGCTAAGCAGGGGCCAATCGGAAGTACCCAGGTTGTGGATCGCGCATCGCTGACTAAGACGTGGAAAAGTTGCTGAGGGTCCCCAATTCCAATTGTCGAGGAGCACCTGAGCGAGCGCGCCATTGGGAGGTGTGTTGTAGCTTGCCAATCTCTCCGACGAAACGAACAATGCTGGCCTCCAGGACGGCATTGAGGCGGGCGTTTGCCGCCTCGCCGGCCACGACGATACCAGCCTTCCTTGTGCCAGCTCTTCAACAGCAGCAGCAGCAACCTCGCCAGTTCTCCTCGACGCCGACACGAAACTCCAAGCTCGGGCGGACGCCGGTCTCGATCCCACCGGGCGTGAAGCTGGCTATTAGCGAGCCGAAGCTGAAGAAGGATCCGACGAGCTACTTGAAGGTTTACAAGAGGACGGTTACCGTTACGGGGCCTCTGGGTACGTTTCTCTGGTGGTGTCCATTCGAGAAAGGGGGTGATGGGAGACTGCAAGGGGCTTAGGCTAATGCTGGATTTGTTTACTACAGGAGAATTGGATCTCGAGATCCCGCCTTTTCTGAAGATTGATTACGATGTCGAGGGCAGCACGGCGGTTCTCAGCGTGGAGGACTCGAACATCAAGGAGCAGAGCGAGATGTGGGGTGAGTTTCTTTACCATTTTTTGCCGTCTTTTCCCTTCCCTCTCCTTCACTGCCCTCTTCAAGGAAGTTCAGGCTTGTCTTCTCGTCTTCAGCGAGAGTCGAGTCACATCCCAATTGACTGAACGCGCTTTGCTAACTACTTTGAACCTCAAACAGGCACGACATGGGCCTACCTCCAGCGCTACATCATGGGCGTCTCCGAAGGCCACACGGCGATCCTCCGCCTCGTCGGCATCGGCTACCGCGCGAGCGTCGAGCAGCGCGGCCGCCTGGAAGAGTTCCCCGGACAGAAGTTCCTGTGTCTGAAGCTCGGCTTCACGCACCCGGTCGAGATGGGGATTCCGCGCGGCGTGAAAGTCACGGCGGCGAGCCCGACGCGTATCCTGCTCGAGAGCATCGACCGCGAGCTGATGATGAGCTTCGCGGGAAGAGTGCGCAAGTGGCGGCCGCCGGAACCGTATAAGGGCAAGGGCGTGTTTATCGATGACCAGACGATTAAGCTGAAGCAGAAGAAGATCAAATAGACGATTTCGCTGCGCGGACGGTTGGGTTGGGGTGGGAACGGGGAGAGTATGGGATGTGGTGTGGCACTTCTTTGGGCTTTGCTACCGAGTCGACTGTGGTTGTGTGTCGATGGCAGAGCTTCTGGAGGGCTGTGTATAGCTGTATATCACTGTACGGGGATGGGAAAAGAGAAAAAAGAGACAAGCAATGTACACTATTTATCTGCTGGTTCTTCAAGACAGCCGAGGAAAAATCGCAAAATCCAAAAAGTCCAAAACTTCTTTCATATTTTTTTTACTATTATACTTTTCCAAGACTTTTTGCTTAGCTAGATTTCGAGCTCAACACCTCTTGGACAACCTTCAACACCTCGCCGTGCACCGCAGCCGGCGCGGCAATAACACCCTTATTGTTGGCCAGCGTCCGTCCGACGGCAAAGTCCAACCTCTTGCCCTGGATATCCGTAACCTGACCACCGGCCTCGCGCACAATGAGGTCGCCGGCCGCGTGGTCCCAAATCTTTTCCTGGTACGTCGCCTTGACGGGCAGACGGAGGTAGATGTCGCCGGCACCGCGGGCAATGGAGCCGTATTTGCTCTGGCTGTCCATGCGGACGCTGGGCTTGGTGATGCCGAGCTTGGCAGCGATCTGGGCCTGGTCGTCGTGCGCGCTGTGGCCGGCCTCGACGCTCTCGCAAAAGGTGGCGGCGGAGAGATCGGTGACGGGCTTCATGGAGATGGGGCTGCCGGAGGCGATGGCGCCGGTGCGGAGGGGCCGCGAGGTGGCGCCCTGGCCGAGGACGGCGGAGAAGATGACGCCGTAGCCCGTGTCGTCGTTTGCGTTGGAGCCGATGTCGGCGGCGAGGGGCGCCTTGTCGTCGACGGGGAGGTTGGGGCAGCCGAGGACGCCGACCTTGACGTCGCCGTCGACCATGAGGGCCAGGCACACGGCGTACTGGCCGCCGCGGAGGAAGCCCTTTGTGCCGTCAATGGGGTCAATGGCCCAGATGCGGCCGGCGGCGCCGCCCTTGCTGTTCCCTTGGTCGATGATGTCCATCATGCTCTCGGCGGAGGCGATGCCGCCGCCGAGGGAGGCTTCAGCGGCGGCGTCGTCGAGCTGGGTGGTCTTTACGAGGTCCCATATCTGGTCGCGGAGCTGGGGTTCGGAGCGCAGCTGGGCGGCCTCCTCCTCGGCGACGATCTCGTCGTCGGGGAAGTGGTGGCGGAGGGCGGCGATGATGAGGGCCTGGGCGCCAAAGTCGCCAATGGTGACGGGGGACTTGTCGTTCTTGTCGACGGTACCCTTTGCCTTTTCGTGGAAGACGCGCTTGGTGAGGATGGAGGCGCGCTGGACGGCCAGCTGGGCCACCTCGAGCTCCTTTGCGTAGGATGACATGGCGGGTTGCGAGTCTCTCTTTGTCGAGGAAGACGAGGAGGAAGAGAAGAGGGTCGTGGTCGTGGTGAGAGGGAAGAAGTGGCTCGAGAGGAGGGAGAGCCGGGGAAGAGCTCGTAGAGATAGGATAGCCAGAGTCACGACGAGGATGGAGGAGATGAGGAGGAAGGGCACAAAAGAGAGACGGGAGGTGGGTTCCTGTCTTGTTTTGTTGTTTCCGCTTGATGGTCGGACCTTGGAGGGCATGGAACTCTAGACGTAAGACGGGAGGTCGAAGGCGGTTTGTGTGGATGCGCAATGTGGATGTGGATAGTGGAGAGGGAAAGTTGTGTCTAGGAGGCAAAGCTCCTTGGTTCCTGGCTCACTCTATGGCTCCAGCATGTGTTTAACATGGCGGCTGTTGCGTCATGGGATGGGCCATTGTGGACGCACAAACGAGTCAATTCACCCAGAAGGCCAACTTGGACGCCTGAAGGTACCTTAGTAGGTATCCGTAGAGCTGCAGTGTCACGTCGTTTTTTTTTACCGCCCTCCACTTATTGTATCTGTGGATAGGATCGGTATTGGAAAAATGCCAGTGAAAAATCAGACTTGAAGAAAAGATGCTCAAATGTGGTAAGCATTTGCCATAACTAGAGCTGCAAGTGCTCTGTCAAGGAGGGGTCGAGAATCCAGAGTCAGGACCCCTCCATCCGTGCTTGCTGCCGGTGCCGGCGCCGGGCCGTGGATGCGACCGATAGCCGTCCACGGGTAATAGCTCAGGTTGGCTTCCTTGCCTTATGTAATATAAGCATTTGGGGCCTTTCTAGGGTACCTGGGGCGGGCTGTATTCAAATTTCCATTGAAAGTGCCTGAGGTGAGGTTCCAAGGCAAGAACCTGCCCGAAAGTCTATGTAAGCTGCAGCAGGGCCCGCCTGCGACGGGACCCACATTAACACCCGCTGAGCGCATCGGGAGAGCTCCAACTAAAGGAGGACCCCGGCCTCGGATTTCGATGCTCACAATGCAAAGCTTCAATCCAAAAAATCCCGTCGCATCTTCACCACCGCCAACACCTCAACCACCACCACCACATCCTCCTCCGCCATTGCTTTCATCTTCTTCGCATACCTCTCAGGCGCCCGAAAAGTGGCAAATCAATAGAGCAAAACAGCCAAAATGACCACAGTCCCCCACCTCCGCTCCCTCTACCGCTCCCTCCTCCGCGAGCTCCCGCCCCGACCCGTCCTCGCCCGCGAGCGCTCGGCAATCCACAACCGCCTGCGCACCAGCTTCGCCGCAGCTCCCGTCGCCGTAAAGGAAGACTCGTCCCGCGCCGCGGCCGACGCCGCAGAGGCCGAGCAGTTCGCCGCCTACCTGCGCGCCCAGCGCACCTACGTCACGCTCCTCGAGCGCTACAACCCGGGCATGAACATGGACGAGGAGGAGCGCGTGCGCTTGACGGCGCGGAGGGTCGGCATGGATCTGCCCAAGGAGTTTAGGGACCGGTTGGAGAATAAATAAAGCGCCCGTTCTGACTGCTATCGATGGTGGGATGAGGTCTTTTTCTGACAGAGAGAGGGGGGCGAGAGTGTGTGGCCCTTCAGGATCGAGATGGATGGTTTGAGGAGGTGACCGCGATGAATGGGCCAATGGATCGATTACGAAGCTCGGCTCTACGAAATTGTATTGGAGAAGCTGTCGACTAGAAGTGAGGGAGATGCGATCAAGGAAATCCTCGATGGGGGATGCAGAAGCACAAGATCGAGGGACGGCGAGCACCCCTCCACTCTTGGAAGAAGGTGCCGTGTTTATAAATGTAATATAATGGGCGTTTGGGTGGGAAAGTTGTTCTACGAAACTTAACGGGGCGCAGAGAACATCACTTAAAGACAGAGAGGAAAAAAGACATGAAAAAACACTACGATTCACTTTGGAAATACTGTTTGAAAATCTCATGCCGTTCAATATCATGTCTTCGTGCCATGTCTAGCTAATTCCTTGTTCACAAAAAACCTCCTACCAAGAGTTTTCTTGGAAAATATATACAAGAAGTGTAAATAAGAGTCGTTATACGCAAAGGGGTATCAACGTCTTCGTCGCCGTGAAGATATATAAGAAAGTAAATCATACCCAGCCTCTTCATGTTCTCCTCTCTCGTCTATTGAAAAGCTCATTCAGACGCTGCCGACACCGCCCTCCTCCAAAGTCTCATCCCACCCGCCCGTCTCGAGCAGATACTCCCCCAACATCTGCTTCACATTCTTGATATTCTCACCCAGCGCACTCGTCCACTGGTCCTGCACGACGCGGACCTTTTCCTTCAAATCGTCCGTCAGCATGCGTCCCTCCTCGTCGCGAAGACGCTGCGCGCGCGCATCGCGCTCCTCGGCGGTAAACTCCCTGCCCCGCCCGTCGTCCATCTCGTTCTGCACAACCTTTGCCTTTGCGTGCGTGACGGCCTCCTTGACCTCATGTAGCAGACACAAGAGGTTCGTCTGCGACTCGATGAACTGGTACGTGCTCTTCTCCGTGTGCAGGAGCAGGCTGAAGAGGTACTGCAGCGGATGCCGGCGGTATGACGGGTTCTCGTCGTACTCGGCCGACGGGATCTGGATGTGCAAGGCCTCCGGGTCGGCGGGGGCGATCTTGTCGAGCAGCCTACACAGCGGCGGCGCAATGTCCCAAAAGGCGGAGAGCTGCACCTCAACGCCGCGCATGACATTGCGCTCCATGACGGCCTGGAACTCCTGCGTGCGCGCAAACACCTCGTGCGCGAAAGCCAGCTGCCGCTTCGCGGCGTCCTCGGCAAAGAAGGCGACGGCGTTTTGGAGCTTCTCCTCGTTGCCGGCCAGGCGGTACGGCGTCAGGACGACGTCGCGGTAGCGGTTGTTGCGGTCCGTGAGGACGTCAAAGATGGCGCGGTGCAGCATCTCTCGCGCCTCAAAGATCCATTTGAGGAGCGTCAGCTTCTCCAGGAGCTCGGGCTTGTCGTCGCCTTCTTCCTGGGGCATGTCGGCGGCGCTAGCGACGTCGTCGAAGAGCCCTCCCGCCAGCTTGTCGAAGAGGGTCGTGGCCTGGGCGATGCGGCCGGTGATGAGGTCGTTTAGGGGCATGACGACCTGGCTTTGGAATTGCTCAAACTCTGTCTTGCCCAGCTCCTTCTGCTTCTCCTTTTCGGCTGCCACCGAATCATCTTCGATGGTCGACGCATCGGCAAATGAAATGTTGCCGGCGTTGATTTCCTGCTGTAAATTGGAGCGTAAAGCATTTCGCCTCTCAATGGATGCCTTTGCGGCTTCCTCGCGCTTCTTCGTGCTGGTGACATGGAATCTTTCTTTTGTGGTTTCAATCTGGGAGAGGTCGCTGATCTGGCGAACGGCTACTCTAGTCTCGGTCAATTCTGGATGGTTATTGTTGACGGCTGGATGATGACGAGGATACGGCGGCGGAAGGGTCACCAGTCGGGAGACGTCTAGGTGGGCTGGGTTCGGCGTCGTGGGCGAAGCTGATGAGCCAAGGGATTCCGATGAATACCGGAGTGGTTGCGGTGTGACCACGGGCTCCATCTCATGCCAGCCCGTCTTTTCGGGAGGATACTCGCCCGAAGACCTCGGGTTACTGGGGCCCGCTTGCGGGCTGTCCTCCC